GACGCGAGCGGCGCGATGTCTGCAGAGCGCGCCAACGCCCGATCTGGGAGAAATGCGGCAAAAACAAAGAACCACAGCTTGGAAAATGCAGCCGAATGCCAAACATCAAGCGCGCTTTTGCGATAAATGCGACAAGAGTAATAAGAGGAAAGGAGCCACGACGAATAACATATAATAAGACACGCCAGCGAGCAGGGTTAAATGGACGAAGGCGCGAAAGGCAAAGGGGAGAGCTCGCCAGGGCCACGCCCGTGCTCCGACGGACGCAGCGGCAGCAGCCTGGCGCCCTACAGGGTCGTCGACGTGCTTTCGGCGCCCAGATTGGCATGTGGGAGGCCGACAGAAGGCCGAACGCTTGTGCAACCAAGGGGAGATATGAGACAGGGCCATGCCCGGCGCCGTGATTTTCATGCGGGGGCCGAAGGCCGAACGCTTGTGCAGCCTGGAGGCCGAACGCTTGCGCAGCCAAAGAGAAATAAACGCCGGGGTCATGCCCGGCGCCCAGAGTTTCGCGCGGCAGGCCGAAGGCCGAACGCTTGTGCAATGCGGACGACCTGGTAAAACATTTTACCTTTTTGCCGTCGTTAGGAAATAATGAAACATGGACAAGCATCAGTGATTCACAGAAGCGATTCCTCGAAGCAGCGCCGGTTGTTTCGTGTTGTTTGTCAAGGCACAAACCCTTCTGGGCCATTCTGGGGTTTCTTCGGTCCCCTGGGAGCGTCCTCGGAGCCTCATCAAAACCTCATGGGGTCCTCCTTGGGCCTCTTGGGTTTTTTTCGGATGATCTTAAGCGTACTGGATGATATAGGGGCCTGGTGACCCGTCTTGGATAGTTTGGTCTACCTATCGGACCACGCGTCCCCCGAATCGGTTTCGAAAGCCTTCGGGGAATACTTGGAGGAGGAAGAAGAGGATGAAGAGAGGGAGGAGAAAGGAAGAAGATAATGATGATGAAGACAAGCGGAAGAGGAAGAGTAAATGAATGTTTGGGAGTTTCTTAGGTCAATCCTGGCGCCTCCAGGGACCATCCTAAGAGTCTTCTGGAACCGCTTGAAGGCCTCCTTGGGGTTGGGCCGTCTTGGAGGCTATCTTGAGCTATCTTGAGGAAGTTTGGAGGCCTCGTCTGATGCCGTCGGAGGCCGTGTTGGCGGCCTCGTATCGAACGTTTCCTCGTCATCGCGCTGTGGTCGCAGAATACACTGCACACCAAACGCACAGCTCGCCCAAGCGATGGGAATGCGTGTCCCTGCCTTTCTGGAAACGCCTTTGTGGCCCCACGTTGGGGTAGACTTTGGCGAAGCTATGGGATCGTGTGTTCCCCGAATAGGTTTGGAAAGCCGTCGGGGAACACGTGGAAGAGGGAGAGGAAACGGAAGAAGAGAAGGAGGATGCAAAAGATGAGGAGGAGGAAGAAAATTGTTGGGAGCCTCTTGGGTCATTGTTGGCGCTTCCGGGGAACTTCAGAAGAGTCTTTTGGACGCCTGTTGGGGGCCGTCTTGGGCCTTTGGGGGACCTTTGAGGGCTGCTGAAGGGCGCCTCTCTGGCCGATGTGAGGCGTTTCTCTCCCGTCTGACGCCGTCGAGAACCGTTTGGGGGCCGTCGGAAAACCGAAAAGGAGGAAGCCCCGAAATGTTAAAACACCTTATGGACAAGCAATGATTTTCGCCTCGGCGGGCCTTCCTGGGGTCCTCTTGGAGGCCTCTTGGGTTGTCTTGGAGGACTCTCGGGGGTTTCTCGGAGCGTCTTGAGTCAGCTTGAGACCATGTTGGGCCGTCTTGGGTGCATCTTAGGCCGTTTTGGAGGCATCTGTTGTTGCCAGAGCCCTGCCAAGTTACTGGACCATGTGTTCCCCGAATCGGTTTGGAAAGCCTTCGGGGAACACGTGGGGGAGGAAGAGGAATAGGAGGAGAGGTAGGAACAAGGAGAAGGGAGGAGGAGGCCTCTTGGGAGCCTCTTGGGCTACTCTTGGGTTCTATTGGACCATCTTGGCGGTCTTGGAGGCATCTTGGGACTGTCTTGGAGTCCATATTGTGGCTTCTTGGGGCTCCCTTGGGGCCATCTGGGACGCATTTGGGAGACCATCTTAGGCCATATTGGCCGTCTGGGAGGCGTCTTGGGGCAGTCTTGGGACCATCTTAGCCGTCTGGGAAGGAGCGTTCGTGGACCTTGAGGTCCTTTATGGTCTCTCCGTATCTGTTGAAGCCCTCTTGGGGCCTTCTTGGGGGCCTGTTGGGCCGTGAAAAGGCCATCTTGGAGGCCTCCTGGGCGATCTTGGAGGCCTCTTGGGCCGTCTTGAGCTGTCGGAAGACCCAACAGAAGCACATCCCAACATCTATCAAAACTTTTAGGAAAACCAATGCTTTGGACCTCTTCGGGCTCTCCTGGAGAATGTCTTGGGGGCCTCTTGATCCATCTTGGAGGCATCTTGGGGCCATCTTGGCCGTCTTGGAGGGAAGGTTGACCGTATTGCGTCTTAGAGGCCATTGGGCCATTCAGGGCCATCTTGGCCGTCTTGGGGATCATCTTGAGCCGTCTTGGAGCCGTCTTGGGGCCGTCTTGGGGGCCTCTTCGGCCATCATGGGGCTATCTTGAAGGCCTCCTGGGCGATCTTGAGGCGATCTTGGCGGCCTTTTGGGCCGTCTTGGGCTGCCCAAAAGAAGCACATCCCAAAATCTATCAAACATCAAAGGAAAAATGATTTTGGCCTCTTTGGGCTTTCCTGAAGGGCGTTTTGGAGGCAGCTTGAGTTATCTTAGAGGCATCTTGGAGGCATCTTGGCAGTCTTGGAGGGCATCTTGGCCATCTTGGAGGCGTCTTGGGGGCCATCTTTGCCATCTTGGGCACCATCTTGAGCCATCTTGGAGCTGTCTTGGTGCCGTCTTGGGGGCCTCTTGGGCCATCATGGGGCCATCTTGGAGGCGTCCTGAGCGATCTTGAGGCGATCTTGGGGGCCTCCTGGGCAGTCTTGGGCTGTCGGAAGGACGAACAGAAACACATCCCAAAATTGATCAAACTCTTTCGGAAGAACCAATGATTTGGGTCTCTTCGGGCTCTCCTGGAGGACGTCTTGGCGGCCTCTTAGGCCATCTTGGAGGCATCTTGGGTCCATCTTGGCCGTCTTGGAAGGCATCTCGGGCCGTCTTGAGGCATCTTGGAGCCATCTTACCCGTATTGGAGGCCATCTGGGCCGTCTTGGACGCATCTTGGAGGCCATCTTGGGTAATCTTGGCTGTCTTGGAGGCGACAGGGGGAACCACCCGGGCATTTTGGGAACATTCCGGGACCCCGGCGGGACGGGCCGAAGCCTCAGGAAGTTTTCTAAAAGAACCAAAATCGAAAGGGTCTAGCACGCCGGGCACCGCTGTGGCAAGCCAACAGGGGGCGGCGGATCATATCGAAGACGCCTACGCCGAATCACCGCCGCCCCCTGCCTTTTCGGAAGCGCCTGCGTGGCCGAAAATTGGGTTTGAGCTTGGCCAAGCTATCGGGCCACGCGTTCCTCGAGTGAGTTTCGAAAGCCTTCGGGGAACACGGAGTCGGGCGAGCTATCGGACCAGGTGGTTTCCGAGCTTTCGGGCCTCCAGGAGGACGTCTTGGAGGGGTCTTGGGCCGTCTTGGAGGCCTCTGGCGGGCCTCTTGGGCAGTCTAGGGCCATCTTCAGGCCATCTGGGGCCGTCTTGGGTGCATCTTGGGGCCATCTTCGCCGTCTTGGAGGCCTTCTTGGCCATCTTGGCCGTCTTGGAGGCCATCTTGGGCGTCTTGGGGGGAGCTTGGCCTGTCATTGGGCCATCTTGGAGGCCTCTTGATGCGATGGTGGGGGCCTCTGGGCCGTCTTGGGCCGTCGGAGAGCTGAAAAAAAGAAAGTGCCAAAATCTTTCAAAAACCGGAGGAAGAACAATGTTTTTGGCCTCTTAGAGGCGATCTTGGGCTGCCTTGGAGGCATCTTGGGAGCCTCTTCGGCCACCTTCGGCTCTCTTGGGGATCTGTCTGTTGTCTTGGAGGCAATCTTGGCCGCCTTGGAGGTCATCTTGGCCGTCTTGAGGCATCGTGGAGGCCATCTTGGGCGTATTGGAGACCTCTTGGGCCGTCTTGGGACCTTCTTGGGGCTGGCTTGGGGGCCTCTTGGACCGTTCTGGAGACATCTTGGAGGCCTCTGGGACGATTTTGGGGACTCCTTGGGCCGTCTTGGGCGGTCGGAACACCAAGACGGAGGAAAAGCCCAAATCCTTCAAAAGCCAAAGGAAAATTTATGATTTTGGCTCCCTCGAGCCTTCCTGCATGGAGAACCTCGTGGATTCCTCTGGGGCCATCTGGGAAGCCTCTCGGGCCCATCTTGGGCCATCTTGGCCGTCTTAGCGACCATCTTGGCCGTCTTGGAGGCCATCTTGGCCGTCTTGGAGGCATCTTGGAGGCCATCTTGGCAGTCTTGGAGGCCATCTGGGGCTTCTTGGGGGCCTCTTGGGCCGTCTTGGGACCTTATTTGGGGCCGTCTTGGGGGCCCCTTGGTCCGTCTTGGGGCCCTCTTGGAGGTGTCTTGGGCACTCTAGGGGCGATCTTGATTGCCTCTTAGGTAGTCTTGGGCCGTCGGAAGGCCGAAATGGAGCAGAAGCCTGAATCCTTCAAAAACCGATGGAAAATTCATGAGTTTGCCCTCTTCGGGCCGTCCTTGAGGACCCTGGAGGACCTCTTCGGGCCTGCGCTGCCTCATGCTCCTGCTTGCTCTGCTCAGCTGGGCCCTGCGTTTCAAGCACAGCACCTCTCCGCTCTCCGTGACTGGCCGTCGATCAGATGCGCCAAGACGTGGTTTCACATGTCCCTTTGGGCGCTAGCCAGCGACTTGAGACAGAGACATGAGAATAAGTTGGGCGAAGAGTCGTGGGGGGGGGGGGGGGCGCCTTCTGGGGGGCCTGGATTCGTCCACTGTGGTTTTCTTGCGGTTCCGGCAATGCCACTGTCTTGCCTCGCGGCGGGCCGATCTTCCCCCCCTTCCCAGACCAGGAGGCCCCGCCGCGGCTTCTCTGCTCCCGCCCGGGACGTCGTCGAGAAGGGCCTCCTGGTGTACGTGCACATCACTGGCAGGCTGGACGACGGCACCGTCTTTGACGACTCTGATGAGCGCGGAGGCCCCCTGGTCTACATCCAGGGCGCAGGCCATCAGGCAAAGAGAACCGTGCGCATGGACCGGCCCCGGCCAGGCCCATCCTAGGATGTGGCCACAGGATCGGTGCGCATGCCTCCCTGGCCAAGCCAGGACTGCGCGTGCCGATCCTGGGCCCAGCCTGGGCCTGGTCCCAGCATTGGTGTGTGTGTGTGTTGTGTTGTGTTGTGTTGTGTTGTGTTGTGTTGCGTTGCGTTGCGTTGCGTTGCGTTGCGTTGCGTTGCGTTGCGTTGCGTTGCGTTGCGTGGTGTGGTGTGGTGTGGTGTGGTGTGGTGTGGTGTGGTGTGGTGTGGTGTGGTGTGGTGTGGTGTGGTGTGGTGTGGTGTGTGTGTGTGTTGTGTGTTGTGTGTTGTATGTGTTGTGTGCTTGTGTGTTTGTGTGCTTGTGTGTTGTGTTGTGTGTGTCGTGTATGTAGTTGTGTGTGTACTCATGTTTGCACAGTTCTCTCCCTCTTCCAGGCCAGGTGCCGAGGGGCCTCGAGGCTGGCGTAGAGGGAATGCGCGTGGGCGAGGCGAGAGAGCTGCGGCTGCAGCCCGCCGAGGCCTTCGGCGAGGCGGACCCCGACCTGGTCCGCGAGGTCGCGGTCGAAAACCTCCCAGACGGCTGCGAGGTTCTGGGCCTCCCCAAATGGGGTCCGAGTAGATGGGGTGGGAGGATCGCGCCGCATGGCCGCTGCATCGGCGATGAGGCTCGATGCGGAGCCCGATTTTCCTTACGCCAACGGCTCCGATGCATCTTCGACGTCGGCGATGTGGCGCGATCCTCCGACCCCATCCACTCGGACCCCATCTGGGAGGCCTCCAGAGGTGGGCACCCGGCTGTCGGTGAGCGTGCCAGGTGGGCCCAGACATCCCCGCACCGTGGCCAACAAAAAACACGGCGGGGGGCTGTTAACAGTTCTCGGTGTCCGTGGCCCGGTAGGGGCCCTCGAGGCCGTCGATAAACTGCTCGGGCCAAGGAGCCGGACCCTTGGAAGGGGTCGGGACCTTGGGGCGTCCAAGTCGTGATTTTATCACAACGTGGGAGGTTCGGGTGCGGCTGCGCGGATATTCGCACGCAAGCTGACCGCGCAGGGCCGTGCGTAAGCGCCCCTCATTTCCATGCGGCGTGCCACGCTGGCCTCCCGCGTAAGCCGCCGCGCTAGGTCGTCATGTTGTCGTGCGTGAGACTCTTTTCCCTTGTGGCTCAGGTGCTGAGGAAGCGCGCCCCGCGGTGGTGCGCGCCATCGGCAGCAAGACGGCGACGCTAGACGTGAATCACCAGCTCGCGGGCAAGATCCTGAACTACTCCGTGAGGCTTGTGAGGTGCACGGAGCTGCCCCAGCTCTCCCTGGAGATCCAGACCCCCGGCGACGGGAAGACGTACCCCGTGCCAGGCGACCAGGTCACCGTGCATTACACGGGCTCGATAGCCGAGAGCGGGGAGGAGTTCGATTCCAGCCGGTCGCGGGCACCATTCACCTTCACGATAGGGCTGGGCCAGGTCATCAAGGGGTGGGATGAGGTCGCGGGCAGGAAGCGCGTCCATACCCGCGGCCTCGCGGTCTGGACTCTGCGGCAGCCACCCCATGTGGACACGGGGTGGCTTCTGTGCGGATGCCCCGCGCGGAAAGGGTCGCGCATCCACGGGACCGTGCTGCGGTGCCCCGACCGCGAGGGCATGGATGTGGGTATGGTTCGTCGCGCGTGGCGAGGGGCTCCAGCGGATGTCCCTGGGTGAGCGAGCGACCCTCAGGCCCGTCGCCAGAATACGTTCACACCCACCGCCTCGGAGCCGTGCCCTGGGGTCTCGAGGAGCCCCCGAGGAGTGGCGGGCGCGGATGCCCGCCCCTCGCGGCAGCGGAGGAATCCGCACCTGCCGCTTTTCCCAGGGATCCATTCGGCGGGGCTCTAGCAGCTGTGGGCATGGACATACCGTGGCGGTGCACCGTAGGGTCCCGTCCGAGATGGCGTACGGCGACCGGGGGCGGCCCCCGATCCCGCCAGACGCCGACCTGCTGTTCGACGTGGAGGTGCTCGGCGTGGAGCCGCGGGGCGCGAGCTGAGGCCGTCCGCTCCAGTGGGCCGAGGGGCAAAAAAGCTGCGCGGGCATATTACAAGCTGCTGGAGGTCCGCGCGGACTTCCTGGGTCTGTCCCCGTGTAACTACGTCTCGGGCTCTCCTTCTGCCTCTGGGTACGTGTCCGTCTCAAACTAGCTTGTTTTCGTTTCTATTTACATGTGTATATGTGTATACACCTTTATACATACACGCATGTATAAGCGGCGTCCGGGCCCCTAGGTACCCCCTTGAGGCTTCAGGGGTTCGGGGGAAGCCTGGCGGCCCAGGAGGACGCTCCATCTGAACCCAGAGCGCCCAGGGACAGCGGAGATGCTTCGAAGACGGCCCAAAGGACTCCTAAGATTGGCCCAGGAGGCTTAGACATGACCCCTGAAAGGCCTTCAAAAGCAAGAACTCCTTGATGTTATGCCAGGTTCTTGCTTGATTTCCGTATCTTCGTCTTTTCGGCCGTGGGGGTCCCCAAGATCGCCCGAAAGGTTCTCAATGTCGCCCCAATGCGGCCCAGAAAGGCTCCAAAAGGGCTCCAAGAAGTTCACCGCCCAAGAGCGTCTCTAGACGGCCCAGGAGGGCCCATAAGACGCGCCATGAGGGCCTCTCAGGAGCCTAGGCGGGCCCCAGACAGTCTGCAGAGACGCCCAAGCCGTCCCGAAGGGCCCCGACGCGCCCCAGCAGGCTCCCAGACACACAAGACGGTCCCTCCAGCATGCGTCCAGAATGCTCCAGGACGGTGCCCAAACGACAGCTGAACGTGGCCAGGAAGCTCTTCAAAAATGCCCCCAGGAAGCCAGAAGCGTCCAACTTGAGCGCGCCGGTTGCGCATGGCACGCGTGGCGTGTGCGCGTAGTGCGCTTCGTGGCCTTGGCCCATCGCGCGCCGATTCCTTTTCAGTCGCAGAGTCGGCAGGGCTGATATCTTCCCGCCCACGAATAAAATTTGGCCTCGCTGTGTGCTCGCAGCCCACAGTGCCACCTGGTGCAGACGATGTTCTTTGTGTAGCCGACATGCTTGCAGTGCCTCCTCAGCAGGTGTGCGTGGTGCGCCGTGCGCGTTACGAGCGTCTAGCGTTTCGAGTGCGTTTCCCGCACGTTGCGCATGGCGTGCGAGGCGTGTGCACGTAGTGCGGTTGGTGGCCGTGGCCCGCCGCGTGCCGGCCTCTTCCCGGTTGCGCGGTCGGGCGGGTTGCGCTTTCCTCCGCCCGGCTTCCACGCAAAAATGGTGCAGGCAATGCGCCCAAAGCTCCGTTTACCTGTCTTGGCAGGTGCGGGGGGTGTCGCGCAGCATTTTCTTGGGCGGGGCTGGTTGACCGCCTCACCTCAGGTCTGCTTTGGCTGGTCTGGTCGCTCAACGGGGGGAGGCAACTTCAGTTACTCGGACGTCTCTTCATGGAGGCCCACATGTTCTAACCTTGCATTGCATAACGCTGCACTATAATGGTCTGCGCCGTGTTTCTGGTGCATTGCGTTGAACTGCACTGCTTCACCATTGTATTTGATTTGGGTCACGTCTGCGCTTGAGCTGCGTTGCTCTGATTGCGTTGCGGTGCATTTGCGTTGCTTGGTATGGAAAGAGCGCGTGCTTCACCGGCATAGATTATGGCAGCTTTTCAAGCCGTGTTCAATGTTTGTGCGGGATCGTATGTGTATAAATGTGTATGTGTATATCTATAGATTGCAGTGGCAGCCCAGGTTCGGGATTCGGGCTGAAGACGAAAACGCTACTAGGCCCGCCTTCGCCTTCTTCGCCCTGCCCGAGCTCGGCAGCACGTGTGAAGCTGTTTTGCAGGGAGGACTGTCGCGGTCGAAGTCTAGGGGCCCCATGGGCGTCATATTTCCGCCCTTCAGTCGCATGGGCTGGACCGCCACCTCTCCGCCGGATTGGACGGATGATCGGGGCATGGAGGTGTCGCTCTTGCATGACCTCCCCGCGAAGATAACTGCTATGCTTCGGGAAGGGGCCCACAAGCACCGCGAGAGGGTTCAGGCGGCCACGCTAGGCCGGGCACGAAAGCCACAGAGAAGGGGATAGGCCTTAGATCCCAGGATAAGTATATGGCCCCAACGCTTTGTTCTTCGATTGTTTGTGTGGGGAGGGCCGAGCAGCCAAAGCTGGCTGCCCTTGTCAGGGAGGTTGCCCGCTGCGCCGGTAATCCGACTCCATATGGCATCGCACTCACATGCGCGTCGCGTCGGTAACCCTGCGGTTCGGGCCGCGCGAGAGGCCGCCGAGGCCAGTGCGTTTTTGTTTCAGCAGGCTCAGGATGGCAGCGGCGAGTTCTGCGCAGTGCTTGAGTTCTGCCGCCCCGTCAGCTCGTGGCTTGCGATGAGCACCGACCGCGAGCCCATCCTCTCTGGTGGTGATGGGGCCCAAATGAATTGGGCTGATCTCGACACGACATGTTTGAACGTTTCTGGGGGCGGGCCTTGCTTCTCATGCCATGGAGGGACTCTCGAGCGCAGCGCGCGCTCGGGTATTCACGTGGCCCGGCGGGCAGCGAGCGGCCACGGCCAAGGGCGCGGTTTGGCAATCATTACCGCAGACGTGTCAGGCGGCGGAGCAGTTGCAGCTTTGCCTTCTACTTTTTGGGATCCCAGGCACGGTGGCTCTTGCTTCGGCGATTGCACGAATGCGATGCGTGCGCAATAGTTTGCTTCAGCAGTAGTCGAATCACTAGCGCAAGTACTCTGGGTTCAGACGTCGAGCGCGGCAGCACAAACACACACACACACACACACACACACACACACACACACGCACACACACACACACACACACAACAACAACAACAACAACAACAACAACAACAACAACAATAACAACCACCACCACCACCACCACCACCACCACCACCACCACCACCACCACCACAACAACAACAACAACAACAACAATCACCACAACCACAACAACAACAACAGCAGCAGCAGCAGCAGCAACAACAATTTTAAGACTGTTCGCCCTTGTATGCTCGAGTGTCCAATAACGCGTATTTCCCAAACCCTCGATACCCGCCCTCTTCGTCTTCGATCGAACCCCTTTTGGGGGGTATACCTTTCTTCCCTGCAGGCCGGGCCCCGGCAAGCGGCGGGGCGGCCGCGGACCGTCGGCCTGGCCAGCGGCAGCGCTGATCGGCGGGGTGGCCGCGGACCGTCGACCCGACCCCAAGAGGGACAGACAGGGGACCGACCACGACGACGACGACGACGACGACGGCGTCGACGTCGAAGACGACGGCGACGACGACGACGGCGAGCGAAAGCGAGAGCGAGAGAACGACAGCAGGGCCACGAAGGGCACGAAATAGGCCACGAAGGGCGACAGCGGGGACACGAAGGGAATGCGTATGGGGCCACGAAGAGCGCGAACGAGCGGGGGCCACGAAATGCAGATAATGCGGGGCCGCAGAAGGCAACTATGGGGTGACTGAGGGTAGCAACTGGGCCACATAGGACAGTGAGGGGGACACAAATGGCGACAGCGGGGCCACGAAGGACATGCACATGGGGCCACAACGGGCGCGACTCCTGGGCGCCTGGGTGTCGGGAGCGCGGTGCTTGGGCAACTTGCAAGAAATTCCCACGCAAGGCCATTCCTCATTAAGTTGCAAGCAAGTCTCCAGCGAGAGCGCGACTCCAGAGCGCCGGGAAAGCGATTCCTTAATAAATTGCAAGGAAGTCCCAAGCGAGGGCGCGATTCCTGAATAAAATGCAAGGAAGTCTCGGGCGGGAGCGGCGGTCCTGGCTAAATTGCAAAGAAGTCTCAGGCGGGAGCCGTTGTTGTTGTAACCCGGGGGCCAGGGGCCCAGTTTGAGCAGGAAGATTTTCCTTGTCAAAAAACAAGTTGCAAGCGTCGAGGGGCACACTTTGATTGAGAAAAAACAGTATGCACCGGTGGGGGGGGGATCAACAACAATTATTTTTCAGAAATGAGAATGCAACAACAAAACATGCCCCAGCTGCATACACGCCCGCACACCGATATGCAAATCTCATGGATGCCCCCCCTGCCCCAGGTTCCTGGATCGGCCAGGCTAAATGGCGGGCGGGCAAGGAAGCCCAGCGAGCAATTCTGATGCGCCCCCAGCCGTCCCAGAGCGAGCGCGACGCAGCTAGAGACTCAGCCAAAGAGTTCGAAGCGGACCCCCCCCGCCGCCCCCCAGCGCTACGCGCCGGAGCCCCCCGAGGCGAGAGAGATACGTCAAATTTTTGAGTCGCAATGATGGCCGGCATTCGCGGGGGCCATGGCGGCGGGGCCATGGGCGCGCCAGGTTCCTCGAGTTCTGCAGCGGAGAAACAGCCCAGAGACCTTTGGTGAGTAGTTCGGGCCCCTTCGCGTTTGTGAGGGAGCTCTTGGCATCGCGGCCTGATTATGGCCACGAGTTGGCCAGCGCCTAGGTCGAGGATCAGGACAAGCCATTACGTTGGGCGGATGCTTCGCACGACGCAGAATTCGGATGTCAGTCATGCGCCGCAACGGCCCCCGCAACGACGAGGATCGGAGCAGCGCTGGCACGACCGCGCTTCCACGTTCGACGAGAAGGCTGTATCCGAAAGAGCCGTGGGCGGCCACTTGCGCCGCTCACCAAGGACCGACGTCACCCCCAGGAACGCGCGAGCATGCGGCCATCCCGAGGCCGCAGTCCATCCAAGCTTCTGCATCGCCCCTGGAAGGGCCAGCAACGGCGCGTTCTCGGATTGCCGAGAAAGAAGCTACTAGTCGGGCTGGGACGGGGTCGGGCAGTGGCGCGGAACAGCAAAGTCATGCCGCTGCGACACAGGTGGCTAAGCCACCTGAGCAGAGTCCGACGGCGCAGGCAAGTCTGCAGGTGGTCGACGGCCCCGAGCAGTTTGATGCCGAGGACGAGGCCGCCCTTTCGCTCGTTGGTCCTCTCCCCCCCAGACGAGGCGGGGACGCGCTGCGGGGCGTGGCGAACGCATTCCGACGGGAAGAGGCCGAGCAGCCCCTCGCGGTTTTTTGAGTCGACTAACGGTGATGAGTCAGACTGAGGAGCCCGGGCCCAAACTGGTTTCGGTCAGCCGTGGCCCCCCGAACAAATGCTGGGCCCCGTTGGAGGTTCTTGCGGCCTGTTGGGGGCCTTTTGGGAGCCCCTCGGGCCTCTCGGGGGCCTCTTTGAGTTTCCTGGGAGCCCTTATAGGGCGGAAGGTTCGAATCGCCGGTTCATGTCACCCCTCTCGGGGCCAGCTTCAAAAGGCGAGAGCTTCAAAAACATAGAAGAAACAGAAAGATATCAATGGCTTGTGCCTCTTGGGGCCCTCCTCGGGGTCCTCTCGGAGCACTTTTGGGGCCTCTTGGGTGCCTCTTAGTCTCCAGAGGTTTGAAAGCGGTGCGGTGCCAGGGTTGAAAATGGCAATGCCATCCCCGATCGCCGCAAGTGCGCTGCATCCCGATGTCAACAACCTCGGCGTTGCGTCGACCGCTTCAGACAAAGTTCGAGCCAATGATTCGAACTTCCTTAAACGACCGCCGTCCATTCAAAGCGGCGTCGCCCCCTCCCCCAAAAAAGACATGTCATATTATCTTATCACCAGGCGCACGATTCTGGAACTCCAGGATGGTCGGCATTCATGTATTTCTGGAACGCGGTTTCGCAATATGTGGAATTATTGTTTGTTTTGAAACAACATTTCTGGATTCTGGAAGTTGCGGGATCACGTTTCTGGCGATACGGATATTCCGAAATCGCGATTTACGCGATTCGTAATTTCCAGAATCGCGTGATTGGTAATCGGGCGCCTTGGAACAGGTTGTTGTACGCTGTACTGTTGTTCACATAGGATTGCGGTTGTGTTGGGAAGATGGGATCAGGAATCTTAGCGTTGTTTGACGCGGCGGGCGCAAAGCTAAGGTTGTTGAAATCGGGATGCAATGCGTCTGCGGCTATCGCAGGTAATATGGCCATTCTCAGCAGTGGCACCACACTCCTTCATACCACACCGCTCCCCGACTTCCAAACTTTCTCCGGCGGCGCGGGAGCGGCCCCAGAGATGGCAGAACCCCCCCACCCCCCCAAGCGGCCCAGGATTTGGTAGAACCCCCCCTTCCCCACTTCCCCGGCAGAGCCACCCCGCCCCCCCCCAGCAGAGCTGAGGCTCAGGCTGCAACTTGTTCAAACTCACGCGCCGGATCGGCGGATTTTGACGCGCGCGTGGCGGCGCGCGCATGTGGCCCGAAGTGTACGTGTTGATACAGATTCGCGCAGTGGGCGCATGCTGGGTCAACGCGGATGCGCCGCGTGGATGAAAATACGGGTTCTGGACGAGATCGTCAAATTCATGTGGTTCCCCCACGATTTGAGCAATTGCGGGCGGGCAGAAACTCTGTAATATTTCTGGTGGCGCACCAATCGGTGTTTAAGGCTGTTCGGTTGTAGTGTTTGCAGTACGCATGTGTCCAGTGTCCAGTATGGTGTTCTGACATGTGGGCGCGCGTGTGGTGTTTTTGTGTTGTTTTTCTTTGCAAAGGATTATTGCAACAATTTCTCTTGAGATACAGACGCAAGTGCGCGCGCATGGTATGTTTTGGCAGCGATTGAGGAGGCGCCAATGCCGACTGGGCCGGGATGGTGTGACTTCAGGTACAAGACGACAGGCGTTGCAGAATCACATGTTCAAAGAGGTTGGGGGGGACAATAGGTGAGGGATTAACCTTGGGCGCGGGAGGATGGTGGAGCTTATTGTCCTGTCGAAGAAAGAATATGCGCGGCGCGGTGCAAATGTGCGGGAATACATGCCACCCGGGGGCAATTGGCGGAAGCGTCGGAACCTTGAGCCCATAGGAATCCGTGCGGCCACCTGAAAGTGCGACAGACATTGCCAGCGGGAGGGGGAGATTCACGAGTCCACATGACTTCAGTTGGATCCACGTGGCCACGGGGAAATGAGACAGACAAGGCCAGCAGCGGGAGGGGAAGCTCCAGGAATCGGCAGGGTGCCTTGGAAATCCAAGCGGCTACCAGAAAGTGCGACAGACAGGGCCAGGGTTGGTTGGTTCTGAGGCGTTTCCCGATCTGCTCTCTATGGTGTTCAAACTATTTCGGGTAACTCCACACTTTCGCTGAGGGGGGACAGGGTGGGTTTCGCAGGAACCGATAGGAACCCACAGGAACATCTATGAGTCCAAGCGGCCACCAGAGAGCGCAGCAGACAGGACAACAAGTGGGAGGGCAAGCCATGGGACTTCGCACGATTCCTTACTGAGTGTCCAAGAGGGCGCTAGAAAGTGCGACAGGCAGGTCCAGTGCGACAGGCAGGGACGGTTCTTTAGAATCCAAGTGTAAGAACCCCTCGGTGCAAGCAGTGTGCGGGGGGGAACACGCCTCCCCAGCACATGGTGCGGCCCTCCTTTGCTTGCCTCCGCCTGACTCAGTCTGGATGTTGGGATTGGGCAGGATGTGCCGCCTCGCCTTCCGCTGCCATGCAGCCATCATCCTCAGGTGCGACTCGCGGCCCGCGTCGCCAAGCCCACGCAGCCACCATTTTGCCCATCGCTCGCGCCGTTCGAATGGGCAAGGGGAAGGGCAAGGGCAAAGGCAAGGGCAGGGGCAGGCGGAGCGAGGCAGCCAGCGTGCCATCACAAGCGGGCGCCCCCGCCGACTCGGCGTCCAGCGCAGCGGCGCCGCCATTGCGGGAGACGCCTCCAGTGGCCACGCCGAAGCCGGTGGCCCGCACGACGAAGCCACGGGAGGCGCCCTCGGCGGCAGCGCCGAAGCCGGCTGAGGTGGTGGCTCGGGCGGAGATGTGGTTGCAGGGCCTGCCGCTGAGGCAGGGCCTGCAGGGCCTCCTGCCGATGGCCACTGCGCCCGTGGCCGCGGTGCCGGAGGCTGGGCCGTTGGCCCCGCAGTCGGTGCCGTGGCATTTAAGGCCCTCAGTGGGTACGTGGCTGCAGGGTCTGCCGCTGATGGCAGCCGCGCCTGTGGCCGCGGCGCCGGATGCGGCTGCGCGCCGTCTGGGGGCGGCCGGTTTCGCGTGGGCGCCGCCTCCCCCTGCATTGCTGGAGGTGGCATCCTCTCAGTCGCCCGCCCCCGCTGCGCGTGCCGCTGGTGACCCCAACGGCAAACACGGTCCCGAAGCGCCGATTCATCAAAGTGGCTCTGTCTCGATTGGCACGGTGTCGGTGCTCGTGCCAGATGGGGAGGACATGGCCGCTGGCACCGCCGGCGCGCTGGCGGACTACCCATCTACCACAGCTGCGAATGCCGCGCCTGTCCCCGTCGTCGCGCAGGGCGGCGCAGCCGACGACCGTCATAGTGCGCACTCGGCCAGCACAGTGTCGGTGTCGGTGCCCGCATGTGAGGCCGGCGCGCTGGCGGACGTCGATCTTGCCGCGGCGCCCCGCATGCCCGACCTTGCTGGTGCGCAGGGCGACTCATCTCTCGACGCGACCTGCCCTTCGGGGGGCACTCGCTCGTTCACCTCTGCCGAGCCCGCCATGGCGCCCGCCGCCGGCGCGCGGAGCGGTCCAGCCCTCGACGCGCGCCACTGTTCGACAGACAGCCGCGGCCGCAATCCACCGCTCGCCTCCCTCGAAGTACCGCCGCCCCTGAACTCGCTGGGCTCTGCGGCCAGGGCGTCAGCGCCCGCAGCGGGCGGCAGCGCAGCCCGAGGGGCTCAATCGCCGACAGGTCCCGGAGGGCACGCTGCGCCGCGTGGCGGGGCTGTGGCGGCCTCGGTGCCCCGCCCGTTTTGCGGCGGCCGCTGGTGGGTGGCCCTCTGCCTCGTGGTGCTGTCGGCGGCAGCGGCCGACGCGGCGGTGGCCGCCTGGCCTCGCGCTGAGGACCTGCCTCCACGGCCAGAACCGGCGCCGGCACCAGCGCCCGCACCAGCGCCGACACCCGCGCCAGCGCCAGCTGGCAGCACGGAAGCCCTGGTCGACAGGCAGCTGGCCAGGCTCCGGCGTGAGATCGAAGAGGAGCGGAGGCGGGAGGCGGCGGCGGAGAGGGAGGTGGCCGCGGCGGAGGCCGAGCGGGCGCGGGTGCTGAGCGAGGTGGAGGCAGTGCGAGCGAAGGTGGCGCAGGCGGAGGAAAACAGGCCCCAGCTGCACGCAAGGAGTGACCCTCTGCGCCGGAGTGGCCTCTGGTGCGCAGCTTTCGGGCACGCTGTGGGGGGGGGGGGGCACGCCGATGCACGCAGGCCGCTGCTGTCGCACCGCTTGCGACGGCCAGAAAGCCGCGCACCATCATGGCATTAATTGTCGGAGGAGGGCTAGTTGAGCCAACGGCGGGTCTCCCGCCTGGCCGCCCCAAATCCAATCCAAATCGGCCCTGGGACTCCACCCAGGGTCCATCCTGGCTCGTTTTCCGACACCGTGGCGACCAGAAGCCTCCAGGGAGAGCCGCAGTTGTCTCGCCCGGCCCTCCGACACTTGCCCCCGAGGGCCACCCTTTGCGTGCAGCCGAAGGTCCCGGGCGCTCGAGCGGGCGGAGGCCTGGGACGGGCGGCGTGCGAGGCTCGGTGCTCCCAAAACGGTGCGGTGGCCACACCGTGTGGTGAGCCAGTGGGGATCCGTGGCGACCGCACGGTTCCAGGACTCGGGCCGTTCTCCGAGGACGTCTCGGGCGTATTGTGGCTTCCCGAGATCCCAAAGCCGTGCGACGGCGGGCCGTGCGGTATCTGGGACGACCGCACGGTTCTGGGACTCGGGCCGTTCTCCGTGGAAGTCTCGGGCGACTCGGGGCCTCCCAAGGTCCCCAAACCGTGCGACGACGGGCTTTGCGGTGAGGTCCATTGGGCCAAGGTCACCGCATAGTGTTTCACCGCACCGTTCCTTGAGATCTGGCGTTGCGAACGCAACATGGCGAAAAATCACGACCAGACCCCCCACTTTTCTGATGCATTTTCCAAGCCGGATCGATCCGTGATGGCCCCAGGGCCCCAAACCCAGCGAAGTGAATTGTGAAATGCGCATCCTGAGCCAATCGCATCATGACATCATTCTCGTTCTACGGTAGGGGTATCGTTAATCAATGTGCCTGGGCGACTTCAGACCCTGGAGGTTTTGTTGTACGATGAAAGCGGCGGTGATATCCACGTCTGGACTTCCACCGGCTTCCAGACCCTGGATTCTTTATCCCAGGGTTCCTTATCTCATTCCCTCACCGTACGCCGCGTTTGGTAATACGCGTGGTGGAGGCGCCACCCCCGCCGACGGCCCCAAATCGACCCCCGTCGTGGGCAAGCATTGCCGCGCGACGTCGACCCCTTGTTGGCCCAGGCAACCCGCCGCAAAAGCCAGACCCCTGACCCACGGGCGCGGACAGGTTGACATTGACCCCCGTCGGTGGGGACCCACCTTGCGCTTATTACCAAACTCTGGGCCTCTCAGGCGGAGTCCGACTAGACGGGGTCGAAGGATCGCGCCGCATCGCCGATGCATCACCGATGCGGCTCATCACGGAACGGCCAGAATAGCTTTGGGACCCCCGACAGGTTGGAGCGGGCCCGCGCGGCCGGAGGCGGGGACCCCGAGCGCCAGCGGGCGGCCGCGGCCACCAGGCCGCAGGCGGCGCTGGCCGCCGCGGCCGGCCTCGCGGGAATGTGCGGCGTGGCGGGCTCGGGCGGGTGTGCGCGGGCGTTCTCGGCCCTCGCGGGGTCCGCCCTTGCGGGCCTGCTGTTGGTCGCCCTGCGCCCGCCTCCTAAACCTCCTCCTTCTCCGCCCGGCTCCTCCTCCTCCTCCTCCTCCTCCTCATGCTCCTCCTGCTCCTCCTACTCCTCCTCCTCCTCCTCCTCCTCCCCCTCCTCCTCCTCCTCCTCCTCCTGCTCCTCCTCATGGCAGACACTTGGAGATGGAGTGCCCACCGCTGCGGTCCAAGAAAGGGCACCAGAACCTTGTACGCATATCTCAGGGTCGCCACCCATGTCTACAAGCTACAAGGGGCTCCAGAGGCGACTCGGATGGCACTGTAATTCTGCGAGTTTCTATGGTGCTGGAGACGTGGCTCCAAAGTGCCGAGAGTGTTGCCTCGGCAGTGGTGCACTGGGTGACTCCCTAGTTACTCCTCCTTCTCCTCCTCTTCCTCCTCCTCTTCCTCTTCCTCCTCCTCCTCCTCCTCCTCCTCCTCCTCCTCCTCCTCCTCCTCCTCTTGTTGCGGGCCCCATGGAGGGGTTGCCTCGGCGCGATGGCGGCGCACTGGGGCCACAGGGGAACTGAAGTCCGCCAAGTCGTGGCCTTTTGTGGGGGCTGCGCTGCGGTAGGAAGGGCCGTGCCCCGTGGTCCTTTTACACACTCCCTGGGTTGGTCCCTTGGGGGGGGCGGTCTTGGTCCGTAGGGTTCGGTCCTTCTCTGAAGTACTGTCCCACTGCAAGCGGCCCCCCCTCTGTGCCGGGCCGGGTTTAAAAGGTGTGGGGCCGGGATCATTCCGACCTATTGCGCAGGCGGTGGAGCCTTTAGGGTGCGGGTCACTTACCTACGGGCTGTGGGGCTGGTTCTTGGCCCCGGTAAGTCTCGCACCGTGCTCCCCACGCGGCGGCCCAGGGGGTGCCAGGGCCCTCGACCTCACAGAGGCGGGAGGCTTGGGGCGGCATCCAGATGTGGTGTCGCGAGCGAGCAGCGAAGGGGCGGCGGTGGTCCGTCGTCCTCTGTGGCCAGGTTGTCTTGGCCTTTTTGTGGTCGTGCAGGCACTCTATTAGACGCGAGGTCCTTGCCTGAGCATTGGCCGCGGGAAACCTCTTCCTACTCTTGTTCCTCCTCTTCCTCCTCTTTCTCCTCCTCCTCCTCCTCATCCTCCTCCCTTCCTCCTTCTCCTCCTCCTCTTTCTCCTCTTCCTCCTCGCCAGTCTCCGCCTCTTGCATGTCTTCTCGTATCCATTTTGGCTCAGGCGGTCCTCCTCCCGTCTCCTCCTCCGCGGTGTTCCTCGGCGCGCGCTGGGCGGACCCCGCGGCTGGCGAGCGAGGCGTCTGGCGGGCTACGGCTACGGGCACGCTCAACGCAGCGCGCGGCGCGCGTGGCCCCACGGGCATGGGCTGGCTCGTCGGCTCGTTCCCCTTCAGCGCCGTCTTTGCCGTCGGCGGATCGCGGAAGGGCTGCAGCCTTCCGCCGATTTCCGGAGCCGATGTCTCGCAGTCAACAAGGGGATGGAGCTACGTGCCGCTCTGGACGAGGTGGTGGGCGAGCGCCACTGGGTGCTCGCGGCCTCGCGGCCCATGCTCGCGCCTCACGATTGGACGGAGGCCAGGCAAATCAAGCGGGACCGCGATTCCGCCGTGCACGACCCAGCCCACTCTTTGCTGGAGGCTCCGCTGGGGGTGTTGCGGCCGATGCCTTCCGGCCTAGGGGCCTAGCACAGTGCCCAGGTGAAGCGCCTCTTGTCGGTGCAGGCGCAGCAGATTCACAAGTACGTCGTGATCCAGGTTCCTGCTGACAGCTTCGTTGACCACTCGTTGCTGGCTTCGTTCCTGCTCTCAGCTTCGCCCCCGGGTTTTGGGACCCCAACGACGAGCACGCGGAGGAGCAGGGCGAGGTGAGCTTCGCGAATATCGAGTCGGCCGACGCGTTGGTGAAGGAGATGCAGTGGCAGTTTCACGCCGTGGGATCCCACCCACCCACGGCGCATGGCTCGGTGGGCGGGTCTGGCAGTGCGGCGGCGTGCCTGGCCGAGTTCATTCGTGACGACCTGCACGTGGACGGCGACGGGGAGTCCTCCCAGAGTTCTCTCGGGAGCTCCAGCCCGAGGGCGGCGCAGAGGCTGGCCAACCTTCCCAACAACACCGCCTTGAAGCTCTTCCGCGACATGAATCGCCGCCCTCGTCGCCGTGTGCATCCAATTGCTACCGCTGGGCCCATCGTGGAGATCGGAGCCCCGCGGGCTCAAGATCCAGAGTGGCAGCAGCAGCAGTGAGCACCATCAACATGAAGTTCAAGTGCTCTATTCGAGGGTGCCTGTTTGCGACGCATCGTCGCCTTCAGGAGGACCTGCTCTTCCGTGGCCGATTTCTGCGGCGTCCTCGGCTCCGTGGGCCGCTCGTTCGTGGTGCACGTGGGTTCCGTGTACGTCTGTTACGTGGTGTACGTGGGCACGGGAGGTCGGGCAGAGGAGCGCAACGGTAACAAAAAAGGCCTCCGCCTGTTATAAGGCCGCCTCTGTCGCCATCGCCGCTCGTGGCTGATCGTCTTTGGCTCTGCCTGGGCCTCGTGGCACTTCGTGGGCGCGCACGAGGCTAACCCAGAATCCTAGATTCCGCGTCCGCCTCTCCCGCCTCCCCAACGGTCCCCTTTTTCTTGCTACCGCCATCCATATTAGTATTCTTATTATGCTCCGTCTTCTTAGTATGTTTAGTATGTGTTTAACTGTTGTGTCTACTAGTATAATGTCACTATGAAGATGGTTACGCGTAGTAACATTATTGCATGTACAATTCGTGATGTGATTCGTATCTTTGTTATCATTACTAGTACGATTAATGGTCGTATGTTTCGTGGCACTGTCTTTCTTATCCTCATTATTATTAGTTTTCGTCTTCCTCTTCTGACGATGACTCGTATTATGTATAGTTCCGTTCGTCGTCTTCTAATCAGTATTCTCCTTCTCCTCCTTCTCCTCCTTTCCCCATTCTTTTTCGTTGTACATAACTTCTCCCTGCCGCACCCCGAGGCCGGTCGAACGGGCGGGCCGGGCGTTTCGCCTGAGACTTCCACACCACTCATGGTCCTGAAACTTAAATGTGGCAACATTTTCACAGATGGAGGGCGGGTCGTTTTCAAAATGTGGCTCTCGTCTTAGCGCCGCACACACTCGCTTAAAACATCTGCGAGAGCTTCACGGATTGAGGGCGGGTCGTTTCCAACGTGTGGTTCTCGCATTAGCGCCGCGCGCATTCGTCTTGAAAATTTACAGAAGCTTCACGGATTGAGGGTGGCTCGTTTTCAAAATGTTGTTCTCGGCTTAGCGCCGCGCACACTCGCTTCAAACATGTGGGAGAGCTGCACGGATTGAGGGCGGCTCGTTTTCACACTGTGGTTCTCGCCGTAGCGCCGCGCGCACTCCCTTTAAACAATTGCGAGAGCTTCACGGATTCCCATCGTCAACGTACAAGAAGCGGTGTTATGCAAAGATTCAGGATTATGAGGGCGCAACAGTTACTTTGAGTCGCGGTGTTGAAGTCCCAGGAATGGCGTTCTAGCACGGTTCAGGATCTTCAAGGCGCAACAGTCAGATTGATATGTGGCGTTGGAGTCCCGATAATAATGTTTTGGCATGCTTCAGGGTCTTCAACTGGTTGTCTTCCAACGAGGCAGTTCCTTCAGTGGAAATGAACCCTTCTAGGGGCCTATGAAAAAGGAGCTTGGAGGGAGGGCTTATCTAAAGGCTGCCGCCTCTGCCGCCGACCCCAAGGTGTATTGGAACGATGTTTGGGCGGTTCGCTGCCCTCTTGGACGTCTGGGGGGCGTTGTCGAGCTCTCTGGGGCGGTCGTGGGTACTTTTTGAAGGCTTCTTGCGCCGTCTTGGGGTGGTTTTGGGGTGTCTCTGGCATTCGTGTCCACGGTGTGAAGGCCGAAAAGTCCAAAACGCTTAAAAGAGCCCTTCCCGCGGGAAAAGAATGATGTTGGGATGTTTGGGCCTTTGTGGCGTCTCTTCGATCTTTTGGGGGGCCGCTTTGGGTTTTTTGTTGGACATCATGGGACCTTTCACAGAACTCGTGGACAGCAGCTTCGGCCGTTGTGGGTCGTCCAGGTAAGATGTTTGAGACCGGTGAGCCTCTCCGCGGCGGCTCGGCCGGGCCTGGCCCCTTCTTCGGCTTACGCCACACCGCCGACCCCTTGTTTTTTTCTGGCGCGTGGCGTGTGCGAGCAGACCTCCTCCTACCTCCTACGTCGTCTTACTCCTCCTCCTCCTCTCCTTCTGCTGATCGTCCGTCTCCGCCGGCAGTGTGGCCGTGCCCGCAGCGGACGACAGGACCAGCCTCCGGGGGGAGGGGTTTGGGGAGGGGGAAGCATCTCACACGCCGGTGACCCCAAGGGGTCGGCGGAATTCCCTTCTGTTTTGACGTATCTAAGTATTTGTGGGTGCTTGTTTGGATGAAGATCAGAAACCTGATTGGCATCGATGCCAACGGACTCAATACTGCAATGTTTTTCATGGGAGGCGACCAGAGTGGTGCTCAATTGCATTGGCACATCGCAGCTTTCAATTTACTTTACATCGGGCAAAAGGATTGGTTATCGATTCCACCGAGGTATGCTGCAGTCAGCAAGATCCCGTCTTGGGAGTTGTTTCACATGCAGGGCTTGCGCTTGGAACATATCTATCGTTGTACACAGCAAGCTGGGGACTTAATCCTTTTGCCCGATGCTGGGGGGCATGCGACATTATGTCACGGGTTCTCGGCTGGCCTGGGCGTGTTGTATGGTTGGCGAGATCCCCGAGCCAGACAAATGAAAACGGCCCAATCTGGGCTGAAGAAGGCCCAGGAGGCCCCTGACGCGTCCCAAACTGCTCCAAGGGATCCTCCAGGAGGACATCCAGGACGATCAAATTCATTGATTTTCATGGTGGCGGAGTGAGGGGATTGCGCTCACGCGAATCCATTTCAAGGCGTGCGCGTGTTTCGCTTCGGGGCAGGTAAACGTCGTCGCGTTTATCTTCTTTTGTTTCTTCTCTCCGTCCAGGGGGGGGGCCCGGCGGGGCCTGGCCGGGGGGCGGGGGCGGTCTCGCGGGGGCCCGGAGGGGGGCGCGGGTGCAGAGGAGAAGGAGGGCCCGATCGTGGGGCGGAAGCCGAGGCAGGGCTTAGGGGCTGGGACACGAGCATCGCGAGCGCGCTCGTGAGCGCGTCCACAATCCCAGACATGCGACGTCCTGAGAAAATCAGGACGGCTATTTTTCGTTGTTTTTTACATCTGAGGCCTTCGCCGGGCTCCAGGACCGTCAAAGAACGACTCAGGATGAAAAATCCGGTCTTGGGGAAAGGGTAGGGACTTCCGGGAACCGTGTTCTGAAAAAGTTACGACGTCGCCATGTGTGGGACCAGTCTCTCTGTCTCTCTCGCTCTCCCTCGTCCTCCTCTGCCCGAGCGGGGGCGGCGGGGCGGCGACGCCCCGCCCGGGGAGGGCCGCCATGGGCTCCGCCGCGGCCGCCCCGCGCGTTGCGCTCGGCGCCGCGGTGGCGGCGTGCCTCGCCGCCAGGGGTGGTGCTCGGCCCGGCGGCGGCGGCGCGAGCCTGGGCTCCGCTGCCCCAGCGCAGGCCCCTTGTCCTCCTCCTCCCCCCTCCTCCGCCTCCTGCCTCCTCTTCCCTCCTCCTCCTGCCTCCTCCTCGTCCTCCTCCCTCCTTTTCCTCCTCCTGCTTCCTCATCCCTCCTCCTCCTCCACCCTCCCTCCTGCTCCTCATCCCTGCTCCTTCTTCTCCCTCCTCCCTCCTCCTCCTTCCTTACTCTTCCTCCCTCCCCCTCATCCCTCCCTTTTTGCGGAAATCCGCAAAAAGGAATGCGGGGCGTGCAAGGATGAGCGCGCACGGCGCTGTCTCGTCATCACAGGACCAGATGACCCGCGCATACACACGGAGAAGTTTCGGCGCGCCCCCGGAGTGTTCCCGAATAACGACGTCAAGTATGAGGTGAACAAACTCCGAGCGTCGCAATATGCCCGACTGCACCGGAAGCCGATGGCGCATGTCCCTGCGCGCGACACTCCGACGCCAGATGCTCTGCGCGAGCGGCCAGATCTGCCACACCAAAAGATGGCCTGGCTGCAACGCCACGACAAAGAGAGCGGAGACCTGCATGGTTTTTTGCCGATCGCGGAGGGACTGCCTGTGGCCCTCACCGATCACATCGACCGCAGCGAAGACAAGTACCTGCTTCGCGGACGCGTGGGGACCGTGCACTCATGGGTACGTGATGGCGACGAAAGAACAGGGCGCGTCTCCCGGGGAGGGTGACTATCTTGCAGAAGACGCCGAAAGTGATATTTGTCCAATTCGATGAGGGTCTCGATGAGGCAGGGAACGTAAGACCGTGCGTGTGGACGATAAAGGGGCTGACCACGCCGGGCCTGTACCCAGTAACTCCGCAAAAGAAAGATTGGTTCGTGGACAAGGGCCGGCCGTGCCCGCGTCTGAAAGTGAAGCGGCGGCAGTTCCCCTTGGCCCCAGCGTTTGGAGTCACGGCCCACTCAGCACAGGGCCAGACTTTTAAGCAAGGCGTCATCGTGGATCTGAGGATTGGCGGGGGAACGTCGCCGTTGTCGAGTTATGTGGCTCTGACGCGCGCGCGTCGCCGCGAGGACATGTTGATTTTCCGGCCTTTCGACCGCGAGCCGTGCACTCAGAAGGAGCGGAAGGGGCCCGGATACCTTTTACAGCTCTTGCGGGGCGATCCCAATGACCCCATCGATTGGAATGCAATCGAGAAGGAGTTCATGCCTGCAGGGAGGTGCGCGGCGTGCTCGTCGGTGAAGTACAAGAACCAGTATGCGCGCGGGCAGTGGAGCCGGGACGACGGACTCCGCGTGTGCACGGTGTGCTTGGAAGGCAAAAAGAGCATTGGTACGCCGTGGCAGTGCATGGAGTGCTTTTATTGGAAGGGCGAGAGCGCTTTCCACGCTTCCCAGCACCACAGCTCGAAGTTGACGTCACGGCGTTGCGTGGACTGCCCCGAGAGGCGAATGTGTTATGTGTGCGACGAGCGGAAGTACGAGGCAGCGTTCGCGGAGTTTCAGTGGGACAAGGCAGGAAACTCCCGATGTAAAGGGGGAATGTGCCTGGAGTGCGAGGAGCTGGAGAAGCACCTGAAGTGTTCGCGCTGTGGTCACCAGAAGCTGCCGCGTGAGTTTTCTAAAGCGGAACGGGTCAACGACGAACCCACATGCAAGGCGCGTGTGAAGTTGCTGCGAAAGGAGGAGAAGGCGCGGGCGGAGGCTGAAAAAACGGTCGTATGCTCAAAGTGCGGGAAGTCGAAGAACAAGGCAGAGTTTTCCAGGTACCAGTTGGACCACACGGACAGAGCGTCGGTAGTGTGTACCAGGTGCGTCGACACCGAGGCTGCAGAGCGGAACGCACAATCTAGGAAGTGTTCGAAGATTTGCGCGGAGTGTGGGAAGTCTCAGCGGCGCGAGTTCTTTTCTGGTCGCATGTGGGGCGACGTGGCTGCTC